GGAGCAACGTCCTTCATTGCTGCTGATTACTTTACCTTGGTAAGGTGGCAAGCAAAGGGCCAACTTATCGTCTGACTGAGTCTGACTGAGAGCTCCGAGAAGCTACGATAGACGCTGACCTGTATCCGTACCCGTACAGCCAACTAGTCGTCTAGATCCCTGCAGCGCAAAGAGAGGCAGAAGATATTTTTGGATTTTACCTGTCGGCTGGTAGCATACCATCGTGCCGGATCGCAGTCTGCTCCACGTCTTTGCACGCGCGGCCAACGTACACTTCAACCAGAAAGCGACGAAAGACTGACAAGTACGTACGAGAGGTACCTTGGTAGGTAGCTCCCATCAGAGAAGGAGCTGTTATTGCTCTGTACCCGGGAAACAAAGAAGCCCGGCACCCCAGCGTGGAAGTGACAGCACCTTAGATGTAAGGTACTGCGTACACTCCAAGCGCGGATCAGAGCAAGCAGCAAGTGGAAAGCACCAACATCCATCACCTAAGCGCATGCCAATCCGAGTCGGAGCGCGCCGTTGCAGAGCACACACGCAGAGGTACCTCGACCTGACCCAACGTTGGGACTCTCAAGTCCGGAATACTTTGTTCCGGCACGCATCTCAGGCACAACTCCAGGTACAATCCCACCTCGTGGTACCACCTTTCCACCAAATCAAAGACACCGGCCGAAAGATCCATCCTCAAACGTGCACAGCCTTGTGGGAACCAGCCAGATTGGGCCGCTCGGGTGGATCCCAGCCAGCCAACCAGGTCGCCCGTCAACCACCTCACCCTGCACCTCACACCTCGCTGTCCCACCGTCACCGTCCACACTCCCCTCCCCTCCCCTCCCCTTCCCACTCAAGGTACGGACAGGCTCCCGAGTCCCAAGTCCCAAGTCCCAAGTCTCTCTCCTCCTTCGAATCCCAAGTCCTACCTACTACGCTCCTATTACCTACCCTCCCTCAGACCCCAATTCCACACACCGTGGGCCTGCCCTGGTGCCGGGTCTCTCTGTCCGGTCCCCTCCTGTCCTCGCTTCCCCATCTCAACTCCTTCTTCGCACACTGTGGCACATTACCACTCAATCTCCCGCCGCGCTACGGTATTCTCTCCCTCTCTCTCCAACGCCCCCAAAACGTCGCCAAACCCTCTTCACTTCCAGTCACCACCTTCATCCGTCTCCGGCGTCGCTACTTGACCCTCTACTCATCGCTGTCACTCAGTTACACTCATCCACCCAAACTATCATTGCGCAAACCTATTCGCGACAGCGAATAACATCTCGTCGTCCGCGACTGTACCCCCGCCGCCTCCAGTTTGTGTGCCGTCAGCTCGCGCGTCAGCACAGCCCCAGGGCGGTGCGGTGCCTGAAAGGCTGACTTGTGAACTGCCTCGCCCCGATTCTAAAGACAGCAACACACAACACACACACTCCCGCAATCGCATCCACGTACACACGACATCCCTCCATCCCGAGTACCGACATCCATTTACATCATGGATCAACAAGGCCAGCGCGGTCGCTCACCGTCTGCGGGGCATCAACAGCCTCATATAAGACATCCTTCGCATTCTCCGTCTCCGAATCCCTTCCAGCCCAATACCGAAGCATCAATTGGTCTCGGTCTCGGCTTGGATCAATCTGCAACTCAAGCCTTCAACGGAGCCGCCTCCGCCGACTTCTCCAGCTTTAATAACACAAACAATTTCCTCAACGGCCAGCAACCCAACCAGCAGTCTTACAACCAGCCCGGAGCTGCCTTTGCGAACCAGAACCAAGCCGGCTTCCTCGACCCCAACAGCTTCCCCTCCGGCGACTTCGCCCTGTTTCCCAACGCCGGCCAGAACGACCAGCAGTTTACCACCGGTGTCTTCGACCAGAGCCTCAACCCCGGTGACATGAACAACATGGCTATGCCGCAGAGCCACCACTCTCCTACACCTCCCCACCTCCTCAACCCGGACCCCCACCAGACTCCCTCCGCACACCAGTCCCCGGCCTTCAACCAGCACCAGTTCTCTTCGCCGCCCTCGGGCGCGGGTCACTCCAGACATGCCTCCCTTGGTCCCGAGGCCGCTCTCCTGCCGAACCAACTGAATGAATGGAGCCAGCCTCAGTTTCGAGGCCACCGGAGATCCCCGTCCGAGTACTCGGACGTCTCTTCCGCTGCACCTTCTCCGAACTTGGTGAGCGCCGACAGCTTTGATGGAATCGACCAGAGTCATTCGCCCATGCAGCGACCCCAAGATGCCGGTCTCTACCAGCAGATTCAGGGTTTCGACAACTTCACGATCTCGGACCCCGCCCTGGGCAGTCCTAACCTCCAAGGGCGAAGCCCCTCCCATAGCCCCGCCATCTCCCCGCGCATCCTCCCTCAGTCGATGCCCGAGCTGAACCAACCAGCCAACTTTGGCCTGCAAGCACAGAATGCCGGCTTCGTCAGTGGTACTGGCTACACCGGGCAAGAAGCGTTCCCGACTCTGCAACAGCCGGAGATGCCCCAGGCACCGGCCATCAACATCGAGTTCGCGCCCACGGCAAGACAAAACAACTTCGAACAGCCCAAGAACCAGATGGATCAAGATTCCCTCACGCCGCCAGAGCGAGGTAAGGCACCGTGATGGTATCAAAGTTGACACGTCGGGACTAACAGTACCAATAGGCCGCCCGCGATCCAGACCCCGCGCAGTGACAGATCCCTTCAACAGCTCCGGAGGAGGTATGGTGCGGCAAACCTCTGCCGGCAGCTTGTCGCCTCATCTAGGATCTGATCTTTCCGGCCGAGACTCATCACGATCGCTCTCCCCGCTCGATCGGGGAGCTGTAAGCCCTAGTCGCAGACGACAATCTACCTCAGCCGTGCCAAACAACGTTATCGCGCTTAGACTGGCGGATCCTGAATATCAAAATGCCCAGGACAACGGAAACTCGAAACGTGTTCAGAAGCACCCGGCAACATTCCAGTGCACCCTGTGCCCCAAGCGCTTCACTAGAGCCTACAACCTCCGGTCTCACTTACGAACGCATACAGATGAGCGTCCCTTCGTCTGCACAGTTTGCGGCAAGGCGTTCGCGAGACAGCACGACCGCAAGAGACACGAGGGTCTGCATTCTGGAGAAAAGAAGTTTGTATGCAAGGGAGACCTCAAGGCTGGTGGTCAGTGGGGCTGTGGTCGCAGGTTCGCGCGTGCCGACGCGCTTGGCCGACACTTCCGATCAGAGGCGGGTAGAATCTGCATTAAGCCCTTGTTGGACGAAGAAATGCTCGACCGACAGCGCGCGTGGCAGGAGCAGCGGATGCAGCAACAAAACATGCAAAATATGGCGGCCGGTATGGGCATGGAGCCAGGTTATCCGATGGACGCCGGTGGGCAGTACATGCTGCCGGCTGCTTTGTTGGCCCAGTACCCGGCGTTGGCCCAGATGAACTGGTCCGCGCAAGACGCGAGTAGCGGTCTCGAAGACGACATATCGGGCCGTTCGTCATTCGATGCCAGTGACTACGAAGGCGACGACGGTGGGTATGTCAGTGGACCCGGTACAGGTTTCGGAGAAGGCGGCATGGGTCAAAATTTTGGTGAAGTCGGATATGCCAGTGATTATGGTGGTCGGTAACAGGGTGATTTAAGTTCACTTGCCATTTTCTTTGTTTTTATGTCTTCTTTGCGGCCAATTGCCTGCGACACGGTTTATTCTTCACTTATTTTCTGGGGATGTGGCGCTTCATGAACAAGCGGATGTACGGGAACAGCGTTAGCAGCGCCCTCAGAGGACGTTGCGCGGATGGTCTGGTTACAGGATTTAGAACGCGTTGTTATAGATACCATTATGACGAAACCTTTTTACATTTATACATGCTGGCGCCAATACTCTCATCTGATGAAAGCAAGTGCAGCATGGGATTGTGCCCCTCCGAGGGGCGATAACTGGATGGAGGGGTGATTATCGGCGATAAGATTGTTGTCACTGCATCGCGGGGTCGGCTGTGGCGTACCCCTCACTCTAAATTGACCGCCAAATAATAGTACGTATTGCCACGGAGGCTGGCATTCCCAAGGTGGTGGATAAATCGCAGAAAGCATCCGGTTCCAATGAATGCGATGGATCGTATCCGGCGCCGGAATCTGATAAGAGTGAGCACCCGGGGGTTACCGTCGTTCGTTGTCCGCAAGGTAAAGTACCTATGTAAGCAGCACAGGGCACCGTTACTCCGCGGCGCCGAGAAAGAGGAGACCTACGGATACCTACGGACGGCCCAAGCTCCGGGCCTCGAATTTCTAGCAAAAAGTCCGGGGTATTACATAGCTTTCCCAAGTCGCCGCGGGCTCTTCGGCTTCCCACCACCCACCAACCAACCACCTTTAGGAAATAGAGACTCGGGAACGAGAAACATCCGCGATTTACCAAGGAAGATCTGGGTGCATCGCGCGCCCGCGTTACCAAGAACAGTGTCTGTTCCGCGGGTTACTTAGTTGAGTACCTATGCTGAGAAGTGCGGGGCAGAAGGCAAAAATCGATGATGCCGGTGGGAATAACACACACGTACATCTCGAGCTAGTGTGGATAACATGGTTCCGTTCACCACCGCATTGGCTTGGCTGGGACATGGACCCCTACCTTTACGTTGCTGTCTTGGTCTCCTTGACAGACCTTAGGTAGCTACGCAAGCATTTGTAAGCTGGAGGGGAGGCCCGGCTTGACGATGGGCAAGGAGGGGTTATCGGTATCGGGGCAGAGGAGCTTTTTTCCCCCTGACGACGCAAATGCCGACTGGATTGTTACTTAAAGGGGCTTGTTGATCTAGAGCTTTTGCAATTGAATTGGGTTTTTGGATACCAAACTAGATACCCCTCCAAATAACAACACTTTACAACTTTCACACCCATACAGCTATCAACACAGAGGTAAGTAGGCAGTGATTCGCTTTCCGCACAACACTTTGACAGAGACCAATACTGACACATCAGCACTCCAGATACCTACCTGCTCAGACGACACACGCACACAATGGCGACGAACCAAGCAGTAAAGACAATCGAAGCGGGCGTCGCAAAGGTAGTCGACGCTCCGATCCCCACCCTCCCGGCCGACGACTATATCCTCGTCAAGACGACGGCCGTGGCGATCAACCCGACGGATTGGAAGCACGTCGACCTCGCCGATAAGGCGGGCTGCGTCGGCATCTGGGTCGGGTGCGACTATGCTGGTGTTGTCGAGGAGGTGGGCAAGGGCGTGACGAAGGACTTCAAGAAGGGGGATCGGATCTGCGGGCCTGTAAATGGATCGTGAGTTTTTTTTTTTTCTCTGCCTGGCTTCCTTGAAAGAAAGGGAGGGAGAGGCAGAGGAGGCTGATGTTGGAGCGCTACAGCAACGCTCTGAGAGAGATTGACGGTGCGTTCGCAAAGTACATCGCCGTCAAGGGCGACGTGCAGATCAAGACGCCGGATAACATCTCGGACGAAGAGGCCGCGACGCTCGGCATCGCCGTCACCACAGTCGTATGTCTACTTCATCTACACTCCCCTCCCATTACAGCCAACTTCTTCTTCTTGGACAACCTTTGCTAACCACGTACCAAAAACACAAACAGGGCCAGGGCCTCTACCAAGGCCTCAACCTCCCCCTCCCAACCGAGCCCACGACCGCCACGCCGGCCCCCACGATCCTCATCTACGGCGGCAGCACGGCAATGGGCATCTCGGGCATCCAATACGCGAAGCTCTCCGGCTACCGCGTCCTCGCCACCTCGTCCCCTCGCAACTTTGACTACCTCAAGTCGCTCGGCGCCGACCAGGTCTACGATTACAAGTCGCCCACCGTCTCCGAGGATATCCGCAAGGCGACCGACGACGAGCTCACGCTGGCGTGGGATTGCCAGTCGACCAACGAGAGCGTCGTCTTGGTGGCGAAGGCGCTGAGCAGCGCAAAGGGAGGCGTGATCGGGACTCTGTTGCCTGTTGATAAAAAGGTCGTCAAGGAGGTGAATGACAAGGTGGAGGTGAAGATGAGTTTGTATTATACTGTTTTCGGGGAGGAGTTTGGATACTTTGGTGAGGCTTCCCTTTTTTTTTTTTCTCCCCCTCTGTTTTCCCGTTGTCTGGGCCCTGTGTCGCGGGGCATCTCATCTTCCCTCCCCTTTGATCCCCCCCCTTAAAGACTAACGGCACCGTCATCTTACAGGCAAGAGGGACCCCGTACCGGAAAATTACGAATTCGGCAAAAAGTTTTGGGAAATCAGCCGCGGGTTGCTGGCCGAGGGCAAGCTGAAGCCCATCCGCGTCGTCAAGAATCAAGGGGGCAGCGGCCTCGAGGGCGTCGTTGTCGGGTTGAAGGAGTTGAAGGAGGGCAAGGTCAGCGCCGGCAAGCTCGTCTACACCATTTAAGAACTCGAGTAGCGATGTTCCCCTATTCTTGTGTAGATGAAGATTTTCGGTATCAACTCAGTCTGCATAGACGATGACCATCATGAGAAAAACATTACGTATATTTCTCAAACAGTACTGCCTCCCTTTAGCCTTCTCCTGGAAATTGCCTGGGACCATCTTCCTATGCCCTGCTTCTTCTGCTGAAAAGCGAACTCGCAACAAATCATGTGGTATCTAAAAGCACTTCCTTACCCAAATAAACGCCAGACCCTCCCATCCTCCTCGCCGTCTTTTCCAATATCAGAGACGGGTGGGGCGCCAACTACATCTTGGCCCTCCCAACCTTTTGCGCAACCTCGTCAAGCACCTTCTGCACCATATCACGATGCGCCCCCTCCATCTGCCCCTTGACAAGCGGCATCAACATCCGACTCGTCTCAACCCTCGTCGTCTCGACAAGATCGTAGTCTCCCTGCACATACCCTTCCAGTTTCCCGCCATGCTCTCCGGGCCACCGCTCCTCCGGCCTCGGCACGACGAGCCACTCGGACCAGACCCGCACCCCGCCGGGGGCCTCGGCGCGGGACCGCAGGCCGTTGGGGATATTCTGCAGCACGGCGGGGAAACTGATTTCTTTTTTGACGCCCGGGACCACCGTGACTTTTTCGTAGACCTTGTAGCAGGCGAGGCGGGAGCCGTCTTCGAGGAAGTGGGCGTCGGAGACGACGCTCGCGAGAGGCACTGGGACCTTTTCGTAGCGAGTTACGAGGGGTTGGTGGCGGATTACGGGGGATTGGGATTGCAGGGTTTCGATTACGGCTTCGGGGGGGAGGATGCTGGGGAGGGGGATGCGGATCGTGAGGCTGTGGTGGGCTGGCATCTTTCCTCTTTTTTATGGTGTAAATGATCTGGTGTTGGCGTCGTGGGTTCGGAGGTCCCGTTGGTTTGGTGGTGGTGGTGGTGGTACACACCCCGGATGTCGATGACGATGACGATGGCGGGGCCGGAGCCGTATGCGACTGGTGGTTCTCTTCTGGAGGTAACTTCGTTGAACAACTCCGTAGAACAACGGGAGCTGGTGAACCGTCGTCTGGACGGTATTGAAGAGCAATCCGAGGTGGTGACAGCAATAGGGAAAGTTGCACAAAGTGGCAATGTCGTCTGTCGTGCGCCCCCAAAAGACCGATATCTCAGTCAGCTTGCTTCCCTGTCTGGTTCAGGATCAGCGGGGATTGGGGTCTTGGGTCCGCGTCTTCTTTCTTTGTCTCGAGGACGTGGACGGAGGAGGAGGAGATAAACCTTGTCCTCTACAATGAACCACGTTTCCTTCCGAGGAACAGTCAATAGAGAGGAGAGGTAAGGTAAGGATTCAAGGGATAGATGATTAGTCGTGTAAAAGGTATGGAAGGGGGCGCGAGCGGCCAGGACGTCTTTTGTTTCGTCTGATGGTCTGTTCCCACACGGGGTGGGCGGTTGGTTGTCCCGACTTTCCCACCACGGACATGGGCAGTCAGGAGGAAAAAGAGGGATGGATGGATGGTTGGATGGATGCACTAGCATCTGATGCCGAAGTTTTGTCCGTGTGTGGAACTTTGAGAAAGGCTGAAGCAAACAGGCAAACAAACTCCTCCAAAGAGGAAACGACGTCACCCGAAGGATTGGAACCACTGGGGAGCTTAGCAAACACGGGTGACAACCTTGCCGAGTCTAGCGAGTTAGTGCAGGGAATAGTAGTATAGCACAGCTCAGAAATCCAAGGATCGGCTGGTAATGGGCCTATTGGCCAGCAGAGAGGTTCGCGTGAGATTTTGAGGCTTGTCTGAGCCTGCTGACGGTCGTAGCAAATGGTCAGGTAAGCATAACTATCCGTATCCGTAGTCTTGGCTGGACAGCGTAGACAAGGAGCCAACTCTTTTAGGGCTGGATTGTTTTTTTCTTTTCTGCTGCGGTTTTGATACCAATGGCACTCCGATGTTGAAGGATGGGAGAAGCTGAAACGAGTGGTGATACTATTATTAACCCCTGGCGAAGGAGCCACTGCCTCGGACTGAGTTGCTTGTATCCTTACGTTTGTGAGAGCTCCAGTTGAGGCGCGACCCCCTGGACCCTGAATACCTCAGATAAGCCTTCGGCGACTGTGGCTGATGCTCCCTGAGCACCGATAACTCTCCGAATGTGGGGCGGCGCATCGGCCTCATCAAAATGAGGTTGATCGTCTGCAACTTGTAAGCGCAATCGCAAACGTGGGGTGATCAGAAATCATCCAGAAGAAGTCATCATGCCCAACTATGATGAGTTTGTGATGATTTCTTCTACTTTCCTGACGTTCTTCAGGCTGACGACCAAGATGAGGTCGCCGAAGATGGAGGCGCTTACGGCAATACGACAAATTGGTGTCTGTTTGGTGAGATCGTGAGAATCGAGCTCATTACCCGCTTAGTCCTCGTCTGCCGCGACAAATGCGACTTTGCGTTCCTCGTCGCTATCTATCCAGATGGAAATGCGCAGGTCGATCCTGGCTCATACAAGATTGGGCATACTGTTGCAGTCTTGAATACCACTACCAAGAAATTCTTGGATGGAAGGGAGGGAGTTCGCGTGGAGAAGCTGGAAACTTGTCGGGTCAGTCCTGCTTTCTCACTCATCATCTCAACCAATGGTGGCTTATTGACGAATATGGTACCTTAGGCCTTTCGTTTAAGACTGGCAGACCTTTACCAGATGAACACAGAGCTTGTCAAGTACACTGGAGGAATTGACGAGCAAAGTGACACTCGGCCGTGTCAAGCCTGTGGCAAGGAAGCATAGGAGCGCAAGAATTGTGGCGGCTGTGGTTACTACTACTATTGTGATACGGTACGTTACTGTCGACGTGCGATTTTGAACGTAAATGCTGACGAGCTGCAGGCGTGCCAAAAGATGGCCTGAGAGGGCAAGAACCACAGAAAGGAATGCAAGGTCCTCAAGAATCCCAATATGAGAATGCTGCTGAATCTCAAAGCCGCCTCCCAAGCTCTCCTATTCACAGATTGATCTCGAAGTGGGAGTCTAGGGTAGGGCAACAAGGGACCGTCAAGCTCATCCTCGTTGATTGCAACTGAGGCGATTCCCCGACAGGTGCCGAATGGTCCTCTTCCCTAGGGTACGATTTCCTTTGGTTGCCTCTGAGTCAACGTCACGCGACCTTAGACATGGCCGAAGAAGTACATGCGGCCTTATCGAGCTTCCATGGGTAGCTAATGATGCAGGTTCTCGGCTTCGCTTGATCGAGTTGCACCCGAGGGCTTATCTGTAGTTGATGCTCTGATGAATGCTGGTATGGCCAAAGACAAACAATTGAGCGTGAACCTAGAAAGTGTTTTGCCTACGAGACTCGTCAAGCAAAGTAATGATTTCATGGTATTACTTTGAAAAAGCATATCGCACCGCAAGCGCAATTCAATTCAGCCGATGACTCAATAGCCATCACCGAGAAAGACAAATTGCCTTCTGGGAATCGCACTCCAAGTCTTGATTCCGAAAGCGTCGACAGGGTTCTAAAGCGTAACGAGTCGAATCTGCAGCTGACCAAGTCAGTAATATTGCAATTTGCTGCGCTGTCTTCTCCATCGACCCATAGTTTCAACCTGACCAAAGACCATGGATGACGGCCATCGTCGCGGTGGCCAACTGTGGCCAGCTCAGGTCTGACCGCCTGAAGAAGCCGCGAGATGCTCGTAGTCCGTCCGAAAGGAATTGGTCTACACCGTCTGACACCTGCGTCTCAGTTGATCGATGCTGCAGAATAAGCCGGCAGGCAGGTTGTGAGGGAGAGGCAGTATTTTTGTTGTTTAATGCCTGACGCCGTTCCTCAAGAAGTCTCCATTGTGCTTTAGTATCGTGACACAAGCGCATTATTTCCTCTGGGCCTCTACCTGAGTTACGCCAGGTACCCCAAACTGACACATTCCTTGTTTAGTGTTGGAGGCTGTCTTGCTCGCCTTGGACTCTTCTGTAATTGAGACTGACAACGAAGACAGACGATGGAAATCTGCGGCATCCCGAAAGGTCCAGAGCCTACGGGTAGCCGTAGAGATGATAATTCAGCGTGGCTGGTTGGTGCGAAGTTCGCTCAGAGGTGGGTTGAGAAATTGAAGCGGTGAGGGAGCCGCCATACCGCTTTTGGCGACACTCGTGGGATGAGTGGATAGAGATGCGCCATGCGATGGTGGAGGTGGGACGCGTGTAGACGAAATGATCCAGTAGACAGATGAAGTCGCATCTCCTCAGACAGGGCCAGACTTGGGATGTGCATGAAGGGCATGTTAGCTCCCGATGCGCAGTGCAGCGCCGCAGGCCAGTGGCCCTGCGAGCACACCCGTCGAGATGCAAGCTGCTGGCGGCCCTGGCGCTGGTTCGACGATGACTGGACGCTCATCGGCCATCGTACAGATGGCAGATGGGGTCCTCGTGTATTTGAAAGGTACGAATACCAGGCCTAGGAGAGGTCATTCCATGCTAATAGGCGCATGGCTGCCCAGCCGGTAATGTATCGATACCTCACGGCCTGGTGCTTCGCTGCATCGATGCTAGAGCGTAGCAGGCTGGCCGAGCCGTTGTCCGCATGGCAACGCAACGTCTCGTCGACTGAAGGCGGCTTGTCCCTTTTCTTCCCTGACTTTGGGTTCGTCCCGCTTCCGTCACGACGGTCCTAAGTCTAGACGGAAGGGAAGGGTCTGAATGTGGTAAGTTGGCGTAGGAACCGAATGATGATGGACATGGTGACATGGTGTTGCCGCTTTTTCTTCTCTCCCCCGCGAGCTTGATGCGCCTGCATTCCATGCGTTGCCATTCAGATGCAGATGCGTAGGCCGCGCCTGCCTGTCATCAATAAATTCAATGGCATGGCTGCACGCCCTCTCTTCAATGCCCAATCCCGTTTGCCGCAGGCCGTGGGAAATGGGCAAGGGAGTCGAGTCTCAATAGTCCCCTTGCTTGGCGGGGTTGGTGTTAATTTGAAGGTACATGGGTAACCGCGGGCGAGTGGATGGAGGACCATGTACCTCCGCGATTGAGCGGTTTGGGCGATGAACCTCCGACCATCATCCAGGCCGTATGGATGCGAGAATTCGAGCAAGAAGCAAGGTAGACTGGTGCAGAGGGAGGCAAATCCGAGGAAAGACGAGGAAGCCCGGGTCTTGCCGGATAAGGGTTTTTCTGACGGGAATTGTGATACACAGGGATATTGAGCAGTTCAAGACTTTGAGTATTGGTTGTGATAGTCAAGCTGAAAGAGATTTTCCTATGCGTTGGGGCGGTGGGTGGTGTTGAAGTTGTGTGGGTGACAGCAGCGCGTCATCATGAATAACATGGAAGACCGCAGCTTCGAGAAGGAAACTAGCATGTGGCAGCAGCGAAGACCCAAGCGGGAAAGGCTGGTGGTGGTGAGTTTTCCGTAGCAGGGAATAGGGATCAAGAGAGCCAACGCAGGTATGTGTAGGGTCCTTGGATCCTGCTAGTCAAGGAACCCGAGTCCAGAAAGAGTTGTTTAATACCTACTACCAAGATATTTTGTCAACCTCGAGACCACCGGTCAGGTATTATTATTGCCTTATTCCAGCGCTAGAAAGGTGCTTGCTCCATAGATACCTTAGATACTTGCGCTTGCCTGTGCTAAGATTGGGATGCAATTCTACGGAGACACACCGAAAAAGCCAAGAGCTCTCACTACAGTAGATAAGTAGGTACCTTGGAGAAAGAGGCAGAGTGACGGCATCAGGAAGGGAAGGCAGTAATAGCCTGTTAGGTAAGGTAAGGGAAGGAAGTAGAAGGTATCGATGTATCACACGTGAGAACGCAGCTGGTGGCGGCAAGGGAGTTTTACCTCAGAGCCGGTGCCTTTTCTACGGTTACGGAATAGGTACCTACGGTTCTTCCCCCCTCATTATCCAAATCCCTTCCTTGGGTATACGTCCCTTACTTTTCAATTTTTGTCCGCCCCGGTTCCGCTGCTTGTTCAACGTGGAATGGAAACAAGATACACCTGATATCCAGGACCTGCTGACCTCGTGGTTACCTAAACATTCTAGAGTCCGCCCTCGTGGCTCTTGCAGCGCGTACTAAGACTAAGAGTCCAAGTACTCCGTCAGAGTGTGCTGCCCAAATGCCCACTTGAAGCGGACGGCATCCTGGAGAAATGGCATCACCTGGGCGGCAGGCTGAAGAGGAGGGAGGGGCTAAGGTGGTGTGAATTGAGTCAAACGACTCCGGCGTGCAGGGGGTGCCATCTTTCTGAGTCTCGAGACACTTGATATCACACTAACTCGGCCAATGAAGCGCCGAGGCCGCCCTTCTTAACCGACCACCCTGCCAGGGATCACCACTTTTTTGCAGACCTCCAGAGTGAGGTACTTTGAAGTTGTACTGTCACAGTCTGGTTAGTGCGTGGGTTGCTGCGCTTTTGCCGTGGCACCTCCTCCCCCTTCTGGGCTAAGCACCCAAGGTACCCATCATGGGCCATGCCGTTGCTCGGGATCTATCGCCATGTACATCACACATACACGTACACGAACACACGCACACACACACATACGGTCCACGGAGCGGGCCAGGGGAAGAAAAGGCGGCGAGCAAATGGGGGCGGGAACAGCGACAGCACCCAGACAGACGGAGGAGACGGAGGAGCAACCACGGGGAGACTGAGACTGGACGCGATGAAAGATGCGTGTGGATTGGTCCTGATAGGATGGTTTTGATGGATGATGGATGGGACATGGCTGGGCGGATGGATCGCATAGACGTGCATACAGCATCAATATCCATAATTATTCTTTCCGTCCTGCCTTACCTTTTACCTCGCTTTACCTTTACCTCACATAAGGCACGAAGTATGGAGTACTGACTCTGTCTCTCGCTGTCTGCAGACTCACCTTATTATTTTGCCCTTGTATTCCTCATTTGGATTGTTGACTCCCGTCTTGCATTAGTTCTTGTATACACCTTTCCTGTATACAAGGCGGTCGCCGCCGCTCATAATTCTCCCATCTGTTTCTGCTATTCTTGCGTCGTCCTCTGTTGCACGACAGGCCGAAACTTCTGACCAATTTCGCGGAAGAAGAGAGCAGAAGGACAAATCGCCCTCGGTGGAAGAAGGCGTACATCAAGGTAACATATTGTAAACTAATTGCAGAGTAGGCAAGCGGGCTATTCATTCACAACAAACACATCCCGTTCAGTCAATTCCCTCAACGTCTGGCTGGCCGGGCCCGGGCTCGACAATAGGACGACGGCGTCTTACTCACACCACCGTCCGAATCGCATCTCCGAACAAGTACGGAATACTTTTGCTCAGCTCACGAGTCGGACCCAAACTAAGCACGACCTCAAGGGCATCACCAATCCCAAGTGCAGGCTGTGGCCTACGCTGCCTGCCTCCTGCAAGATATCTGGCGGTCTGCAACCACATCCATCCACCTATTCGCCTTCGCCGCGACGATCTAGCGTCAACGCGCCGACCCATTGGCTCCCTGTGAAGGAAGTGGCTTGTAAGAAATGATTTTTTTTTACTCTCCTCTCCTTTTTTGCCGGGTCACATCCAGCGCTCCTATTGCTCCTTTCTTGCATATGGCCAATTCAACCTCACCTCCTCCAGAGGGAGTCATCTTCTTAGAAAAAGGGGCGATAAGAACGGCTTGGAAGCCGTGGTTGAACACAATCAAGAAATTGGCGGGTTGACCTCTCTCTCTTAGGACAGCTTCAATCCAAGTCTATTTCCCCGGCGATCAGACGCGACGGCGGCGACTTTCTCAAGCTGTAAGCCTGTGACACCAAGAGCTACATCCCTGCTATCGCTTCGACTTGGCCCGTTATCGTCCAATTCTCCGGCAATTCTGAGCAGGGGACCAGGAACATACCTGTAGCCAAAGGCGGGAGAAAAAAGAAGAACAAGAAGAGACAGGCGAGTGTATTTCCTCCTCTGCCCTGCCATATCTTATCCATCCGCTGGTCCCCTCTTCTTCCCTGCCCCCAATTCACCTTACCCTTCACCACCCCCAGATCCTAGGTCCCTTGCGCCGCCGCGTACCGCAAAAGTGCTCCGTCTCTTTTGCGGCCACCCGAGCCGACCATCCCACCACCCAGCCTGCGCAGTTACATCTCCCACCATAGTAGCAGTCACTGGAGGTTTTTTCTTTTCTTTTCTTCCTTACTGACTTGCACCGCCTGTCTCAGTTCGCCTCGGTCGTACGAATACACAGTCTGGAGATTTATATCTGCAGGTGAACTCCTGTCACGTCCTGTCCAACTCTCGTTTCATCGACCCGCCCCCTCCTCTCGCCAGCACGAACCCGCTTGCTTTCCCGCTACACTGCGTACAACGACTGCTACGATTACGACGACCACGACGAAAACCACGAGCTGTACACCGATATACCCTCTTCAGCTGTTTCGCTCCTCCGAATCGATTTAGCTTCCATGATTCTCACACCAAGCTGTAGCAACACGAGCTCAACTTCTCAACATGGCGGCGGTCGCGGTGGCCATATTTTGCCCATCAGGGCGGGCAGAAGGCGCATATCGATGGGAGCCAACCCAGCAATCCACGACAACTGGCTGGGCTGAGGAAGATGTGCGCATCCGCTTGCGCATGATCGCCCGCGCCTGGGAATCCGCTTCACACAATGCTCAGGTACGACCCGAGACTTTTTCGTCTGCCGTCATGGTTTTCTCCAATTCCTGTCTACTCTGGAATTTTGTGCGCGCCGGCGCCGTTCCAGCCTGGACGCCTCAGCGCTCGTCCCCAAGTCTAACGGCTTACCGTTCGCTGCCATGGCTGGTCCGGAAAGCCTTTGGACGGGAGTCGGGGGGGACGTGAGGGGCATGACGCCGTCTCACCCCCCATTCCACTAACACATGCCTTTCAGATGAACTTCTGAGCTAATCTGATCCGTTGACATCCCTAGATTTCATCCCATCATCGACGACCCCTCAAAACCACATGCAACATCTCAACTCCGTTGAAAGCACCAGAATGCGGCCCGCGATGGTTGCGACGATTTGAAGCGCCCTCTGAACCGTCCGAGCCATGCGAGCAAGTCATGGATCCGACGAACACTGGCGGTTTTGCAAGTCGACGACCATCAGACTTTTCCTTCTTCACCCAACCGCAAACTTCAAGTGCAGAACAACGACAGCGACGTAACGGCGACGCCATATTTAGCGATCCCACACGCGACTTTCTCATCGACTTCGGTTCCGAGGAAGGATTCATGCAAGCGGCGAAGAAGAAGAAGAACAAGGCGCCAGCCAAGGCGCCGGCGGCAAACAACAATAACGATGACGATGGCGCGAAGAAGGAAGACGAAGGCGCCGGCGATGGAGGTGATCAAGGCGGTGACGCAGGTAACGACGGCGGAGCTGCGGGCGACGGCGATGGAGGCGACAAAGAGACACCGCCACCAGCAGACGATCCGCCCCCGGAAGATGACTGGGGCTTCGCAACCACGAAATCCAAGAAGAAGGCCAAAAAGGCTGACGAACCGGCGCCTGATTCATTCGATGAAATAAAACTGGACGACATAGGCAGCGGCAACGGGTCGCTAGACATCAATTTCGGCTCAACGGAGACCAAGAAGTCAGGGGGGTTTGGTTGGGGATTGGGAGCGTCAAATTGGACAACAACAGGCACGGGACTAGGGAACACATGGGACTGGTCTGG